GGACTAGATTGAGGAAGCTCAATGGGCAGGCATTCTCGGAAGTTGGTAAACGGAACTTTGGACATCCCACCTGCATGGTCGTTTCGACGTCCATCGTGGTTGGTACGTCCAAGGGCATCATCCTGGTATTTGACTATCAGCAGAACCTGAAGACCATCATTGGACTTGGGACAAAGGGTACGTCTAATACTGAGCTCGTCTTAGGTCCCTACTGCTGACTTGGGCACAATGTAGCAATTGAATGTGGTGCGATCACGTCGTTAGCGCTGTCAGCAGACCACTCGACGGTTGCTGGAGGCCACACTTCGGGCGACATATTTACCTGGGAGATCTCACGGTCAGCACGGCCTTTCCTCCACATTCCCCCAATTTCTGCTAGTCAGATCGAGACTCGAACATCGGACGGCCATATCGCGGGTGCGCCGGTCATCCATGTGGGCTTTCTGGGAACGCGACGGACGGCACTCGTATCTGCAGATAAGCGAGGAATGGCCTTCTCACACCTTGCTACTCGAGGAATGGGCGCAATGGGACGGACGGTAAAGACTACTCGGATTCTGGGTCGCTATCCTCAGGTTTTCGCGGAAGGCAGCCGACCGCGAAAGCCCAGCTCGGTCCTGGCATTCTCGCCGCTCCCGCTCGGCAATGTCGAGCAATCCACCGACTCGCTAGGTTTGGTCGCCATGCTTACACCGTATCTCCTCGTCATTGTTTCGACGACGCCTGTCGCACAGACACAACACAAGTCGCCCCGTCCGAAAGAAGTTACAGCTCACGGCGCCATGACTGGAGCCCTTGCCTGGTTCCCCGCCATCCGGCTCAAGGGCAAAGATTCGGAGATTTCCAAGACGAAGCTTGTATATTGTTGGTCCAATGTGCTGACGGTTATGGACGTCTCGGAGGTGGAAACCGACGAGTCGCCGAGCCGTGATCGCCCTCCAAGCCTATCCTTCAGACCCAGGAGCCGATGGAAGGCCGACGAGGCGATTGTTGCCGTGCAATGGCTGAGCCGCTCAGTGCTGGCAGTGCTCACTATCACACAGCAGCTGCTTATACTGGAGGACCACACCATGCGTGTTACCGAGGCTGTTGACCTCCTCAACCGGCACATCTACCACGTGGATTTGTTCTCCGCACAGCTGCATAACTTGGTCGAGCAGTTCAATGAAGAGGATACATCGATGCATGGAGTGGTGGCAGACGCCTTTTATATGAGCTTCCGTTCTTACAAAGGGCGCCTGTTTCTGCTGGGCTTCAACGAGATGCTGATCGGAAGCCTGTCGAACTGGGCGGATCGGTTGTTGGCCCTCATGGAAGCCGGTGACTTTATCGGTGCGATCCAGCTGGCGACATCATACTATCAAGGTAGCGCCGAGAAGCTGACCATTGGATTACCGGAGGAGGATGCACTGAGGCAGCCATTGGTTCGAGAGAAACTCCTGGAAATGATCTCGGCTTCGCTGAAGTATGCCTTTGGGCGGAATACAGAAGCGAATAGCGGAAGACTGGGGAACGGACAGCTTGAGAAACTAGCCGAGGTGTCCATCGCGGCATGCGTCTGTATGTCCGAGGAGGACTTCCTTTGGGACGAGGTGTTTACCTGGTACGAGGAGAGTGGCTCACCGGGGATATTTCTGGATGCGCTCGAACCGTATATCGTGGAGGGGACCGTCCGCTCTCTTCCTCCGACTGCCGTGAAGGCCCTGATCAATCACTTCGCGACGAACCACAGCGTTAGCCGGTTGGAAGAGATCATCTGCCTGTTGGATACCGCCACGATGGACATTGACCAGACCACTTCGCTGTGCAAGCATCATAATCTGTACGACGCGTTTATCTACGTCTGGAATCGCTGCCTGGGAGACTACGTGGGCCCGTTGCAGGAGCTCTTGCAGCTCATTCCGACACCGGAGGCGCTCGTTAATGGGGAGTCAGTGGATGGGCTCAAGCGGTATACTAATGCGATGAAGATGTTCCCTTATCTTTCCTTCGTTCTTACTGGGCGTGTCTATCCTACCGGGGCAGACATGGACGACGCCGAGGCGACCCGAGCAAAAGCAACCTTGTACGATTACTTGTTCTCTGGCAAACCGTCTGGCCCCAAAGCCGGGGCTCGAGCTCAGCCAGGCGGGTCATTTTCCGAGCTCCAGGCCATGCTGCGATTCGACACATCCAGTTTCATGAGTATGATGAACGAGGCGTTTGAGGACAGCTTTTTGAATGAGCAAGAACCCGATGAGACTCCTGTCCGGGGAGTGTCCATTAACCGACAATATCTTATCAGCATTCTGTTACAGGTTATGACTCAGTCCTTCGATGCATCTGATACCATTTATTTAGACATGTTCCTTGCGCGCAACCTTCCTAAATATCCACAATATATTCTCCTCCCGGGCAGCACTCTTCATCAGGTCTTGGAGCGGCTGTGCCGATATCCGAGCCTGGATATGGCCGACGATTGCGAATTGAGCGCCGAGTACCTGTTGTCTTTCTACCATCCTCCCAACGTCCAGGGCATGATCCCGCTCTACAAGGAAGCACGCTTTTTCCGGATTCTGAAAGCTACCTACCGCTCTGAAAAGCAGTACCCGGAGCTAGTGCGCACATACCTTGAAGATCCGAACGAGCAGGAGGCCATCTTTACCTGTCTCCATGACTGCCTTCGTCCTGGCTCAGGACTAGGTAAGAAACAGCGACGTGATGTTGTCGACGTGGTCAAAGAGCATGCTGGCCAGCTGGTCGCCATCGATGTGGAGAAGACCGCCCAGACGATGCAAGGGCTCGCACCGGAACTCCACGGGACCTTCCTTGACATTCTCAAAGACGATACTGGCCGGCAGTACCAGTACCTGGGCGTTGTGGTGCGCATGTCTTTGCAGTCTGTGGCGGAGGGACGACAGGGCAAGCCCATCGAGAATTGGATGGTCGAGCGATATGTGCAGCTGCTCTGCAAGTATAACCCGTCTCGCGTTGCCGACTTTGTAGATGATCTACGGGTCGGAGACGTCCGGCTGGAAGAACTGCTGCCATCCATGGAGGAGAGTGGGGTGGTGGATGCGGCCGTGATATTGCTGGCTCGACAAGGTCAAGTGCGGGCCGCGATGGATCGTCTCATCACACACCTGGGGACTCTTGAGTCAGGGCTGGTAGGCATTCTAGAGAATCTGCACGATAGCCCCGACTCCGCCAGTACGACGGAGGCGATCGACCATCTCGTTGAGTCCCTTGACAAGTTTACGCGAGTGGGAACCTGGCTTTGCCAGGGGCAAAGCAAGACGGCGAAGAATTCACGTGCGGTGGAATGGAATGGCACGGGTAAGGGTAATCTGGAGCAACCTCTCTCCTTCGACGAAAGCCTTTGGCTAGATCTTATCGAGGCCGTCGTGCGGACGGCCAGCAGCGTGTTTGGCTTGGTGCAGCCAGAGCGTGCAGCCCCAGTGACTCCGGCAACCAGCCACTTGATGTCGGCGTTCCGCGCCCTGGTTCAGCAGGTGTTCACGTCGCTGCTGTCCAGTACGGTGCGGGTTGGTGGATCATCAAGCAGCGAGCGGAGCGACGTGAGCTTTCTCCGCATTCTGCGGGCGTTCCTCACGCGGGCGGCCAGCTGGTCGCCCTCCCTGTTGGAACTACGGGCGGTACTGGCATCAATATTCTCGGCCTACACATATGAGAAATCCCTATTAGCACTGGCCAACGGCATGCTGGACCGGGACCTGTTTGTGCATGTGGACGAGGTGACGCGACTACGGCAGCGGGGATGGCGACCACGCGGGCAGGTCTGTGAAATCTGCCGGCAGCGCATCTGGGGACCTGGGGTTGGACCCCAGTTTTGGCAGGCGTGGGAGCAGAAACAGGAAAAGACGCACGAGCAGCGTCTCCAGAAACGACTTCATGCACAACATGATCCGGCGACCGCGCGGGGGAAGGGCAAGGCCGCCGATGCAGGTCAGCCGCTCCCGCTGATGGATGGGCATGCGGCCGCAGCAGATGGTGAGGGTGTGAACGGCGAGAACGCGACGGTGGCTGCTGGGCCGGTCGTGATCTTTTCCTGCCGGCATCTGTACCACCGGCGATGTCTGTTGGAGGTCGACTCTTCGACTACTGCGCACCCTGCGCATCCCCAGCACCGACACCATCATCAGTATCAGCATCAGCATCGTGGAGGACCGTTTCACCGAGGAGGATCGGAGTGGGAGGAGTTGTTGGCATGCCCGATGTGTCCTGTACATAATGAACCAGCGATGGCAGCGTGACGACGATGTCCTAATAGCATTTTCTTCTAATTCTTTACCTTCATCTCTACTATTTCCTTATTGTCTTTATTTTTTTTTTTTTTTTTTTTTCTGCATCTTAATGAATCTAACAGGATCGGCTGACCGAGGGAGGCAAATTCCCGCGAGCTGTCAAAAGGCCATTCAAAGTGACACAAAACAAAATAACGTTGGTGAGTGGCATTCCAGTTGCTGCATCCGGGCGGGGATTTCATCTGCTGATGCTGCCGGCTATTTCCTATTTTCCTCCCTGTCAGGCCCTCTTGATTGGACTTTCCGATGCATCGCGTGGCCCTGTCCTAATCTCGGGTTATGGGCTGCAAGCCTGCATCTGCTTGCGGAATCCTTCCCATCTCGGGGCTGATCTTCATCCTCCGCGCGGTTTGACTAGACGCCCAGCCTGCAGCAACTTTCATTCAAAAATGGTGTTCTACACGCCTTTATTGGCCAAACCCTCGACTCCGGAATGTGCCCGATCGCCTGTCACTGGCGCATTTGATTTCCTAAGCTTACCCGTTTTCATGCCCTATATTGGCCCGCGGATTAAATTAACGGTCTCAAATCAATCAATCAAACAATCCACATGGGCCTCGCAGCTGGCCGACTGGTCCTGCGCTCTGGTCCGGTGGGCTGGCTGTGGATTGTTCATAGTCGGCGCCACTCAGATCGTTAGTGTCTGTGTTTGAAAGGCTTGACCAGACCCGGAGGGGGAGGCCCGAGGGCCCCCTATCTCGGCGTTCTGTCTCTACACTCCTCTCTCTTAACTAAACTTTCTACGCTCTCTCTCTCTCTCTCGCGCGTCGCGCCATATATAAATCCTGTTCACGGCCATGGCTCGACGAATTCAGATACCTCTTCTCTAGATCAACATTCCTTTGCCTATTTCTGCAGCAGCTGCTACGATTGAGCTGCGGCTCCATTCCTTAGATCTCGCATACTACTAACACATTATAGGCATTCATATATAAATATCTACTTCTTTTCATTCCTTCTTCCACGATCACCTTTTCTGCAGAGGAAGAAAACATCAATCTAGCTGGTCTATAGTTCAAACTCCTCCTCTACCTCTCCTTGGACAAGAAAAACAAAATATACTCTTCAATTCATCGCGATGCGACGCACCGCGACTCTTCTTTCGGCCTTAGGCCTCACGGCGCAGCTCAGCTCTGCAGCCTACACTCTACAAGACGATTACTCGGGCGATAGCTTCTTCGATGGCTTCACTTTCTTCACCGGCGCTGACCCTACCAACGGCTTCGTCGACTACGTCGATGAAGCCACCGCCCAGAGCAATGGCTATATCTCCACCTCCGGCGATGCCCCCGTCTACATGGGCGTCGACCACACCAATATCGCTGGCAGCAGCGGCCGTCAAAGCGTCCGCATCAGCAGCGATGCTACCTACAACCATGGTCTCTTTATCCTTGACCTTGGACACATGCCCGGAGGTGTCTGCGGTACCTGGCCTGCCTTGTAAGCCCTCATCCCTCCTCCTACCCTTCTCTCCTACTCCCTTCCTAACAAAAGATGACTTGTAGCTGGCTCGTCGGCGCCGACTGGCCCAACAACGGCGAAATCGACATCATCGAAGGCGTGAACCAACAATCCGGCAACGACATGACCCTACACACCAGCGACGGGTGCAGCGTCTCCTCTTCCGCAGACTTCACCGGCTCCATGACCACCGACAACTGCTACGTCTCCGCCGCAGGCCAATCCAATAACGCCGGGTGCGGTATCACCGACCCCGACGGCACCTCGTACGGCACCGCCTTCAATGCCAATAACGGAGGTGTCTTCGCGACAGAATGGACTTCAGATGCCATTAGTATCTGGTTCTTTGAACGCGGAAGTATCCCTGATGATATTGATTCGGGCAATCCCGACCCGGATTCTTGGGGTTCTCCAGTCGCGAGGTTTCAGGGTGATTGTGATATTGATGCCCATTTTGATAGTTTGCAGATTGTATGTTCCTCCCCCCCCAACCACTTCACTATTTCCGTATTATGTTGTTGTTGTTGTTGTTGTTGTTGTTGTTGTTGTTGTTGTTGTTTGTCTTGTTTGGTTGTGATTATATGAGGGCTAATGTGTTGGTATGGTATAGATTTTCGACACCACCTTCTGCGGCGACTGGGCTGGTAATGTCTGGGGTTCGAGCAGTTGTGCGTCTGTCGCTAGCTCATGTAGTGATTATGTGGCGAATAATCCGGAGGCTTTTGCGGAGGCTTATTGGATTATTAATTCGTTGAAGGTTTATCAGGATGATGGTGATGATGATGATACTGTTGCTGGGGTGGTTGATTATGGGGATGATGATGAGGATGAGGATGATGAAGATGATCAGGACGACGACAACGATGATGATGATTCGGATGATGACGATGATTCAGACGATGATGATGATGATGATGATTCTGACTCAGATGATGATTCGGACAACGACGACGACGACGACGACGATGACGATGACGATGATTCTCGTCCCTGGAGAGGTGGAGGAAGAAACCATCATGGTTCGAAGCTCAACGCGTCGACGTCGACCTCGTCGTTCCCTAGCCCGTCGTTTGTGAGAAAGGCAAGGTGGGAAAGGAGGAATCCGATGGCGGGGATGATCTTCTAGTTCCATCGTCTCTCTCTCTCTCTTTTTTTTTTTTTTTTTTTCGTCTCGTCTGATTCCATACGTCTCATCTTCATCTTCATCATCGACTCGGTTTTCACTCATATTGATTTACTGATGCGTTGGTTGCCTGGGATTTCGGTCATTGATTCGGTTGATAGGCTGGTTGACTGTTGTTTTGATTTCACTCTTTCGGTGCATTTGCATTTCATGCATGCATGCATGCATGTATAGATCTGGATCTATACGTGCATAACCTACATCATAGTACTACCTTCTTTTCCTGGGGTATGTACTAGTCGCTCGCTCTATCTCTACTTACTATACCCGTCACTCGTTAAACCGATTTACTCTAATTGAAGTTCATATTTCTTTTCCATTATTCCCATCTAGTACTAGTATTGACTACACCAAATGACAAAAACCCCATAGACATGGTATATAAACAAAACAAGTATCATCAATCATTACATATCCAGTCGATATCCCAACACATCTCGCTGATCATCAGTTATCCGGCCCCATTCAAGCAATAACCGGAAAAAATAGATTTCCATATCCTCCTTGCGAATAACCCGGTTCGCCCATTTCCGCCCCTCCTCGGCAATCCAAGTCCCCTCGATATCGTGCGGCGGCATGTGGACGTGTCGGGTGGCGCCATTTACGGTGAGAGTTGTGTCCACGCCGGCGAAATATGCCAGGGTGCTCCATAGCCCGTGTAGACGGAGGTCGATCGGCACAAAGTGCAGCCAAGGGGTGATGCGCGAGTCGAACCATTGACGGAAGAGACCGGTCTTGAATGGGAGGCTGTGGCTCTGCATGAAGGGGAGGAAGCGGCCGCTGAAGCCGGCGCCGTCCGAGTCGAATAAGTAGCGGTGTTGCCAGTGGGATTGAAAGTCGACGCGGGAGGCGGCGCCGAGTTCTTTGCTTTGGTCGTCGCAGTCTTCTCTGCGGCAGCGCACGATGGGGTCGATGACGTTGACGGAGGTGTCGAGGTGGAGGATGTCGGAGGGGGCGCGACCGTTGAGGACTTCGTACATGTAGGTGTCTGTTTCGTTGGTGGGGAGGAAGACGGAGACGCTGTTCATGGTGTTGTTGTTCACGAGGTGGGCGACGCGTTGGCGTGGTATGCCTTTCCATTCGCCATGGTTGCTCACGCCTTCGGAGGTGCTGCCGATCCAGAAGAGGGTGTTGGCTTTATCGGTGTAGTTTGCGTCCGGGTGTTCTTCTGATGGCTTGTATTCGATCTTGTCGACGTAGTTCCAGGGACTGGGGAAGATGATGTCGTTGAAACCGGCGATTGTGCTTTGGCTGAAGACGGGGGTCAAGTCTTGTGTGACTTTGAAGGATGCTGGGGATAGGAAGAACCCGTGCAGAGAGGCAAGGTCGGGCTGGTGGCAGATGTCTGTCGCTGCCGCCCAATCGGACGGAAACTCTCCCAGCGAGTGGGGACGGACGCAGCTGAGGCAGATGTGTCGACGGTCCCAGATGCGCTGACTGCGAGCTTTGGAGGAGGGTGGGCAGGTGGAGCTCACGTAGCGGTCGAAGATGTGTTTGAAGGAGTTGTCCACAAACATGGTTTCTGTCGTCTGGTCGGCCGGCTCGATTGGTCCCCATTGAGCACCGCGAGCAGTAGACCATTCGGTCCTGATGCTGTCCTCCGGAGGTAGACCGTCAGACCTCGCTTGGTGGCGCAGGACTGAGACTTTCTCCCAGGGAACTGAAACCCGCGGCTCATCGTTCAGGTTGAATGCGAGATCCATATCGGGGAGGAACTCGGCGAATTTCTCAATCATCTTGGAAGCGCTGATCACCATCCACGCATGCGTGGGCTTGATACCTTCCTGCACTCGAGCTTTGCCGTCGCGGATGCTGATCGCACCGATCTCATTGTAAGGATTTGTTGCCAGCTTCTGCGTCATGTCTCGGATTTGCGCAGGTGGCAATGCACGGAAGGGTAGAAGGTCGTTGTATATTTGGTCGAACTCATCGATGACTAGGGAAGATCGGTTGACAGCATATTCGTACCACTTATCAAAGTTCCTGATTTAGTTAGCTTCAGCTGGAATCTTGCAATTGGTGGGACGACGCACGGTGGTGGATGTTGATTGTATTGGGCGCGGTACTTCCTCACAGCATCGGCGAGAGTTTGACTGCTGTTGGCCTGCGCAAGCCATTGATTATGGTGCTGTCTCCCGTCGTACACAAGCAAATCAATAGGATGCAGATGCGCCGCGCTATGCTGCTGGTGCACCAGGATGAGGCCGATTGCAGCGAGAAAAGCGAAAGCAATTCGCATAGCCAGGTTGAATCGATATAGGAATTGCGCTTCATCTTCTGAAGCCGTTCGAGCATAAAGAAAGGCGACGGCTCCCGCAAAGATGAAGAAAAGAGCCGCGAAAGCGCGGGAGGCGAAAATCAACGGAAATGGATGTTGTCCGTTGAACAGAGTAGACGCCCATGTGAAGTAGAGCGTGACGAAACCAGCCAGCACGGCCAGCCCAGCGATACCATAGTACGGAATCTAAGCAGTCAGCATATGGCCACAATTACACGGCTTCCCAGACTTACCAATTGGGACGCCGCAGCGACCACACAAGTCACCAGCACTGCTTGACCCACCGCACTGCGTAGATATTGAGCGCTGATGAAGCGGTCGTCGCCGTCGGAAGTAGCGACGAGGATTATTACAACGATGGTGTAGAAAATAGCCACTCCCTTCAGACCATGGTCAGTTTAGTTCGAGAAACATGCCAAATTGACGCACCAGTAGGCTGTAGGCCCAGGAAGCCAAAGGCGGCTTCCTGATGCTCTCCCCCGACCGGGATCCTTCGCTCGCCAATTCAGCCGCACCAATCAAGATCAACGAGTCGAGAATGAGGCTGAAGATCGTGAAGACACGCATGCGCATATGTAGACTAGAGGTATTGGGGCAGATGTATGTTGACTGCAAGCCACGGCTAAACGTTATGGTGATATATCCGCCTGTCAGGAGAAAAAATGCCGCTATGACATATCTCAGGCGGCTTTGAAAAAGGAAATTGTGCATGCGACTGGCAAAGGTAGCAATGACACGCATATGCGCATTCTGCGGGCGCTCTGGGGCGGACCATTTCGCAACCGGTCGATTGCGTTGATTGCGCCAGTAGTCATAGAGGGCCAGTAAGAAAGGTATGGTGTACTGCGCCAGAAGTCGAGTTAGCGCTATCGCCTAGGATCTAGCTTTTGGCTATTTACCGCGTATCCATCCGGCGCGCATTCAGTATGAAAAGTGAGGTCGCGATACAAAGCGATCCGGACGCATCCAAGGACCGAGAGTAAACCTAGTTTGATCCATCGCGCCGAACTGCGCGAGCGAGTGAGGGCAAAATTACTGTTGCTGTCCAAGCTGATCGGCGAGAATGGCTCTTCGAGAGATTGGTCGCGTTCGGTGAGTGGGATGGAGGAGTATTTAGGTGCAGACGATGCGATCTTCGGTATGCGATGAATGAATCGGCTCAGGATTAAAAGACAGATTCCCGCAAAGTAGCAGGCCAATACGGCTGTGATGAGAGGGTGATCTAGGAGGACGTAATTAGCCTTTAGGATTAGGACCGTTCGAACCGGCAGCCTACCGAAAGCGAATGTAGTCTTGTAAGACGTCGAAATAAAGGTACAGCTTAATAAAAATACCCTGTGCGTTGCGTCAGGTCGCTCCGTTGAGTAACAGAGATGGGCATACTTGGTGGTATAACGGGTATGCTTCTACTCACCCTATCGCGGCCTTGAGGCCGGTCTCAGCAGAGAGAAATACCATGACGCCAAAGGAAAGTTATGGGTAGAGAAAGCTAATAGCCATCATGGTTTGAATGACATTCACATCATGCAGCGCACAGGCAAATTCCGGCGCAAGAAGAAAGATCCGCCCAAGGGAGTAAGCAACTGTGATGCCTGGCTGGGGATGCCGCAAGGAGGTGGAGCCGTCAGTTTAACGTCCTGGCTTAGGGCCCCAAAGGGAAGATACACTTCCAGTAGAATGAATGGGGTATGCCCTCCGTAGTTTGTGTTTGAAAGGTGTGGAGGAGAGAAAGAAGGGGGAAAGAAGAGGAATGACAACAACAACCACCAAGAACATATCCTTAGAATATCATTCTCAGCAAGAGATAAGGGGGATTACTGTGTAAGCCCGGGATTCGAGGGGATTGCGTCAACGAAGGGGTCTGGCCCACGGCTCGCGTCCATCACGGCCATCCTCATTCCACCACACGGGAGGAACTTGTCTTTAGTGTCCAGATAGCTTGCACTGCCCATTGCCTTGCTCGAGCACGTCAGCACGCCGTCTCTATCCCACGACGATCATCTTTCTGATCAAATGACAGGCCAAGAGTTACCGCTCAGTCCATCAGGTATATCAGAGGTGGTGTCACTGAACGCGTACTCCATGTAGATGGCGCAAGACACACAAAATGAAACGGTCAGTCAACACTGAAAGGAACCAGAAAAAAGACATGGCAGGTCGCAGCGCTTAGCGTCAGGGTCCAGCCATTCCATGATCCATCTTTGGTTCCATCTTGGGATGATCCTCTCCCCGATCGGGCAATCTCCCCTCCCGTGTGCCCCTCTAGATGGCATCATCAATCCTGAAAACTCTGGATCTTCCAGGGAGTCCAAGAGTCAAACTTGAGCCAACGCATCCAGTCAACGTTGGCAGGGACTGCGCGATATCCTGGCAAGCGGGTAAAGCGTGGAGACTCCGTGGGGTCTCAAGCTGAGACGGATTGAGAGTTGAGAGCGATCTTCCTGCCCTGCCCTGCCTGCCTTCTTCCGGTGGGAAATTCCACCCTTCCACCATGAGACCCTAGAAGAACATAGTCCTACACAAATCATAAGTTTACTATTAATATTAAAACATTGGCTCCTTAATAACTACATAATACGAGATTGAGTCTTTATTAGAATAAGTTATTGTAGAACAAACAAGAACCAATCGCTTCGCATGCATACAAATCCTGATCACTTTTAAATATCTAGATGGTCAATGGATATGTCTGTAGTCTCAGGAATGCAAATAGCGACTCTGTTGACATGTACAATACTCCTAATAGGAATAAGATCGCGTGCTATACATGAATGTTATGATCAACTGGTCAATAATGGTAACCTCCCTGTCCCTGTCAGATGACTATCACGTGATACAGCACGAGTCAGGAACCACAATTTACCTGCCTCAGGCAGCATAGTAGGCGGTATCCTAAACAGAAAGCGGTCCCTAGCGGCAATTCTGATTTTCGGCGATAACTTTTTTTTGTCGGCGAGAAGAATCGCAGAGTACATCGGCAGTGTGAGTTTCAGTTTCTCTACCTGGCCGTGCGTTTCTCCTGTTGTTTGAGGGCCTGGTTTCTGTCTTCTTGTTTCGCAATTTAAGTGGTGTTCTTGTATA